CAGAACTCTGCTCTTCGCTAATATACTCCTCAAGTAAGCACGGTCGCCAATTTGACTACTGAAACCAACCTCTGAACATGCGCATTCGCGTCTGCTACATATACTGTCACGATGCTGGACTGTGTTGCTACCTAGTGACCTAATACGACCATTACAGCTGTTTTACGTTCATTTGTAATCTATTTACTGACTCTCCCTCGTATATGGTGAACGATTATATTGTATTACCTAAATTGTGGATATTTTATGTGTAAATTAAATTTATGCTAACAGTAACATTACTAAAGGACTTGCGGCTAGCCAAACCTCAGCATATCGTTAATTTTTACGTAGCATGAGCCGGAATAGCTCAATAGACTACGGTTAGGGCAGCCTGGGTTTATTTCCTAGCATGAAGAGTTTCTCTTTCCTTAGCACTCAATTTTGTATTTAATGGACTATAGAGACTTTCCCGTTTATTAGACCACGACCTCTTCCTTCCACATGCGTTCCAATTCATCATTTATTTTTCCTACCATTCCACGCTATGTCATCTAGTCACTGACAGCGCCGTGAGATAGCCTACATAAAGAGAATGCCTGGAGCTGTACAGCCACTTCTCAATACTTCCTCGTGGCGTAGTGCCTAATGAAGCGAGAGACAGCCATGTTTTTAATATACACAACGGTTACCTACTAAGAATATACTTCCGGAAATTTCAATTATAAAACTCCTACTTGTCAACGCAATAAATAACGTGTCTTTTTAATACCGTGAAATTTATTGATTGTGGAGAAAACTCAGGAACTCATTATGTACTGTTGCGAAACAATTTGTTTTCGCGCCATTTGTCGGAGAACATTTTCCGAGGTACATGTCTCGTTGAAGCCGTGACTAATAGAAGGATCAATTGCTGGGCAGTAACAGAATGGGCACAAGTAGCGTGGAGAATCCAGACACAGTTTATAGGCTCAAAAGCGACGTTAAGAAGCATTGAAGAGAGGAATAAAAATAGAATACAATTTTGTTATGTCATTAGACTGGAATAAATTGGAATTATTTTGTTCATTTTCTGGTCTTCGGGGTTCGTATATATATATCGCATAAAAGTAATTGTTTCCCCCCTCCCAACCCAATTTTATTCTGTGATAGATTTTCCACACGCCATCTGTTGGACTTAAAACAATCAGCTACATTTCCTTGTCAGTTTTACTGATTTCCTTCAAGACTTCAGATCTACAATTTTATCTGTTTCGTGTGGTAACTCTATCAGCTTTCATTTTCAGAAGCTAACTGGTGTCAAATACCAAAGTTAACAGCCCAGGCAAGTCATACTCCATTTACTGTAGGAACGAGGTTGCGTCAGATACAGATAGTAACGTCATTATTGGGAAGTTACTCGATTCTATTTCGAACATATTTCCTGTGGGGTGTGAGGTAGCGTTGTCGGTTGAGGCACTATGCTACAAGCCGGAAGGTCGCGGATTGGGTTCCCGATGAAGTAACTGGATTTTTTAATTCACCTGACACTTCCAGCCGCACTATGCCCTGAGGTCGACTCAGCCTCTAACAGAAATGAATACCAGGAATCTTCCTGAGGTTAAAGGACGGCCGGCCCCTAAGGCTGACTACACAGCCATCTGTGAGCCGATTGTCTGGAAAATATGGGAGCCTCGACGTCTCACAACCCTATGGGCTTCGACGAACTGTTCCAGGTATAGCCTTGCCCTTTTTTACCTAGAGAAACAAGATTCATTGGACACCTGAAGTTACGCTGGAAGAGTTTTATGGAGGAACGGAGCAGTTGGATAGGTCTAAATGATGATGATGATGATGATGTACCTCTCCTAGGCCACTGCAACTTCCCCTTCCCGATTCAACAGCCATCCTGCTATTCAACAGATCTCATTGATTCGCCATCTTACCAGAAAGGCGTCCCTCTGAACCTTATTTAAAAGTTTCTGTACCTTGCACTACATGTTTCTACCGACATTGGTCATCATCAGGTGTTTAGAAATTCTTTGTGGAAACTACTCTGCTTCCGTTCTTCGTTTTAATATCCGACGTGCAGCCCCCGTACGCGCCTGCGCATTGGTGGCTCTTCCTGTTGTGTTGCGTGTCGAGACTATGAACATTCGTCATTACATAACCTGAATACTGACAGCGTCATAAAGTAACACGCACAACCCTAATCCCTGAAATGAGAGTCCGGTAAAATAGGCCTATTATACCACTAAATATTATACGAATTGGGTTTCACATTACATCTACATAATCATTAGTACCATTTTCTGGATGTCAGGTTTACAAATCTACTTCATGTTTCACCGATGCGAGAGCGTTAACTTTGGCACAAAATTAGCTGTCAGAACATCGAGATGTCAGCGAGGCTCGAAACTGGAGCGCGTCAGACATATTAGCACGAATGCCGTGGTCAGGAAACGTATATTCTCAGGCGTTCCAGGCCTTATTTCATTGTAATAACTTTTCAAATACAGTTCTCGAATTTTCTTCCTGACTCCTTTTTTACAGCTCTTTTTCTGAAGACTCGCAAATAAAGCAAAGTGCTGGATTTGAGGTTATGGTGACCTGGCTATGAAAAGTTCAAGGACGTTTCGGAGGAACATACCGTCATCATCTTTTCGGTCGAAGATTAAATCAAGCGAACAATGTCTGCTGCCTGTTGCTGTCAGTAGGTTTCTCTGAAACGTCGGTGAAATTCTATAGGACTGCAAGTTGTCACATCCCAGAAGGTAGTAGTTTTCGAGGTGAAGATGTACAGATGTAAAGTGTTGTACGAACTTTATATTGTCACATATGCGTGTGTGACTATAGACGGGGTTTGGATTCATGAATGGATTTACTGACCACTTACACACACGACTCGGAACTACAATCATATACAGCGCCATCGCTGATCTCCACAATTCACAAATCACCGCTAAGCTTATCCAGACTGCTGTGTTTTCACCAACCGTTCCCTGACAACGGCTTCTAACAGTAGAGATTCTTCAGTTTCACGCGTACAGATCCTCTCTTCACAAATTCCCATACAGAACTCGACTGAAATAGTCAAATGCAAAGTAACATTGCGACATTGCGACTGAATATGAGTCAGTCAGTCTTGTTGTCCAGCCCATCTGGGGCTCATGACCAGATATTTATTACTGTTTGATAGTTACAGTCTTGTTATTGAGGGGCGCCCTCTCTGACGAGAGGACGGTTCTGTCTTTTGTTCGGCTGAGCGAGTGGAATAATTACATAATTTCGTGAGGCTTTTGTTTATTTCATTTCCGGTTCCGCTCTCGTGAGTTCTCTTTTATAAATTCAAGCTAGCAAAGTATAATTCTGAAGACCGAAAGTAAAGTAATATCTAGCATTTCGACGCCCAAGAGTTTCAGCAGATTGAGGGACCTTTTAGAAGAAGAAGAAAAAAGAAATGTCGTTTAAATTTAGTGTGGGATGAAGATTTCTGCCTTCTGGAATGTTCTCAACAGAATACGCAGTGGATTTGTTCGAGCCCACTCATTCAGGTAAAGATTGTAATGCGTGTATGGGTTATAACAATATCTTATAGTGCATTACCCTCCCTCGCATAATACAGACACAACCACTACACCGCTATGTCTTGCCATACTTCCTCTTGCCTCATCTCATGCGCAAAGTCAGGCGACAGGTCTAAGAACACGGCCTGTACTAACATTTTAGCGGAACTGCTGTCACGAAATTTAGGACAGGAGAGTTCCGTTCCCTGAGGATGAAAGCGCTTGGTTCCTCTGAAACATTGGTCCCTGCCCACCAAATTGCATGGCCCCCATCCTAGAAGACAATAATATTCATGGTCACCGCACTGGGAACCCTCAATCTCGTTTAGTACGGGATACTCACGTTCAATTCGGCAAAATTCTTAGTTGTGTAGTTGACGGTTAGAACATGCAGTGTGTTTAGACCCGGTCTTTGAGGTGCGCGAAAAAAAAGAAGGGTGCAGTGGTTACTGCTAAATTTTGAAAGGAGGCGAGTGTAAGAATCTGTGACAAAGGTCATTTTATTTCGATCCCGGGTCTGGTCAAGTGGGATTTGTGGTGGACAAAGTGGCGTTGGGGCAGGTTTTCTCCGAGTACTTCGGTTTCTCCTGCCAATCTTCATTCCACCAATTGCTCCACAATCACGCTCACCTATCATCTGGGGTTGGTACAATAGGCTAGAAGTGGCCGCAGTACAAGGGACTTAGTCTCACACCACTAGCAATAAAAAAAAAGGTCATTTTATAACATACACTCCTTACAACAGTGGATTTCACCAGGTCCACTGCGCATTACGTTGAAAACGGCCACGTATAAACGTACGGACTGTATTTCGGAGGTTGCAGATCACAGTGGCCGTGCTGTCTAAGGCATGAACCATCTTCGCCCTCTCGTACACTGGGATCTTTTATTCGAGTCCCACTCGAGACATTGATGTCTGTGCGTTTATTCCGTGTTTATANTGGCTCGAATCCCACTCATGGCATGGATGTCTGTGTTTTTCTGTGTGTAGGTGACGGCCTTGCGGCCCGCTGATCCCCGTCCAAGGAGTCCTACTGGCTGTGTATAGGATTAAGAAACTGGGGGGAAAAAAATCGGCCAAGGTCCAACAAGGAGCTATAGAACCATAGATAGATAGAGAGATAGAGCTAAATATTTTAATGCTGACGGCGCAACTGAAGAGTATAGCGGGAGTTATGACGTCAGCCCGTGTCAGAATCTACAAATCAGACATCCAGTGCATGTGCCACTAACGTCTGTCTTCCCGTCTTCTCTTCAACCCCTCTCCAGCTCCACAACTCACCCCTATCTCTTTACTCCAGACATTTTCGCATGTTAGGTGCATTTTTCTATGTATATAACCATGTCCAACCCCCTCCACAGTCGTCTCTACCCACCCTGAGCGGAACTAAACT